GATTTAGTCTCAGTAAAATCTATTGCTGAAAAATCCAGTCCCATCAGGTGGTAGGTCCTAGCTGACCTGGCTGATCTAAAATAATCACCACCGTGTAAGCTGGTTAGACTTTAACACTTGAATGGGGGGATATCAGAAAAACCTAGGGCAATAGATTATACTAGGAAGTTTTTAAAAGTTCCTGGAAATAGGGAACAACAACTATGTCCCTATACTTGCCAGTAAAGCAACATGAATATATTCATGGAGTCACAGGGAGCCAAGTTCAACTTAAAGGAACAAAAGACTGGCTGATTCCCTGGCTGAGAATGCTTTGGATGTGTTAACTCTTTAGAACTCTGTTTTCTCATTCATTACTCATTTTCAGTGTACAGTGTTTGTTAAGATTCCCACAACAGCCCTGTGATATAGGTTGGGATGATGGTAAGGGACTGGCGAAAGTCACTCAGTGAACTTTCATGGTTGAGGGAGGACTTAAACCTGTGTCTCTCCAGTCCTAGTCCAACCCCTTCATTTCCACACCGCAATGGCTCTCCTTTGGGAAATGGGCAAATACTGTCTTAGAGAATGGCGGAAGTGAAGCAGATGAAAGTATAAGAGCTCTTGGCTATGGAATACGGGGACGGCAACCGTGTTCTGTATTGTGTCCCGTTGATTTGATCTGTTGAACGTGGGTGGATAATTGAAAGATGATGAAATTGCAGAGGAAGCTTACCTCACCCTGGATCCCATGTTTGCTCATATTAAAGCAAGGCAAAAGAAAACTGCAACTGTTTTTATCTGTATTGTGGACAATCTTTTGAGTGGGAGAGTTACTCAAGCATTGTAGACTATGGGGAAGTATAACTTTTGCAGAACAGGAGGGAGGATGAGAAAGGGAAGGAAGGAAGGAAGGAAGGAAGGAAGGAAGGAAGGAAGGAAGATCCAAATATGTATTCTGCAATATATATTCTAACTTGGATATATGATTACATGACTGATGCTATCCAGCAATTAATACTGAAGCTATTCTGAGTGTAGCAAAGAAGATCCAGATTTCTCACTGTAGTTTTAGATTGTGCCAACATTGGTGAAAGAATTGGAAACTGATGAAGGAGAAAGAAATTACACCAGCTCAAGGATTTCTGATGTTGGAAATCATCCTCTGAGGTAGAAGCACTTTCTGTGGCTTTAAAGGTAAGCTTCAAAAAACTGTGTGGGCCTGGGACACCCTCCAAAGTCCCACAGGATTGCCACCTACAAGAAGTCCTGCTCTGGGCTGTCTTGACTTACAACCCCCTCAAGGGGGCAGTGGAAGCATGCTTTTGGTGCTAAGCTCTCAGTAGAGAGCTCCATTGGCCTTTACTACCTGGAAGGAAAGTAAGCTGTACCTGTTGAATTTCAGCTTGTTCAGTTGTCAAAGGCTGGAGTGTCTGTCCTAGGAAAATCAACCATTGCGTGAATAGGTGAGTGTGAGGTGGGTCTGGGTCCTGAATGTGGATTCATTCATCAGAATACCATAATGAACTCAATCTTCTTTGAAAGGCAAACAGTCAATTGAATGAGCTCATTTACAAGCCAGATTCACATATTTGTGAGAACAAAACAAATAAGTCATGTTGGTCCTTGCAGCGAAGTGTTTGATAGATAAAAGCTAACAGCCTACCTTGTAATATGGTGTCTGAAAATCCGATTCTAGGCTGCCCCCCAAAAAGCACAGTGTGTAGACCATCTAATGGTGCCTTCCATAGTACTTTTAATCAGACACCAAGGGTATTAATTATGCCCTACTTCGGATATCAGTAACCTGAAACGTGTCCAGAGGAGGACAGTAAAGATGAACACCAAGTCTGATGAGGAAAGGTTCAAGTTAGAGAAGATGCTATAAGAGGCCACACAATTCTCCTCTTAGAAGGACTGTCGCCAGAAGGTCCACACAGAGGATTATCAGAAAAGTGAAGATGGCATCTGCAAC